CTACCAGTTAATAAGACCAGTTAACTCCAAATTTGCTTCACCTACTTCCATTCCAAAATAGATAACACCGCTTTCAAGCTACACAGTCTTGGAATTGAAGATGGCGTTTTGGCCAATGATTTCAAACTTGCTCAGTTCACATAAGATTGTGTCATGTGAACTGAATAAGAATTTGGAATCAGTGGCCAAAACACCATCTTCCAATTCCAAGATTCTGTGTAGCTTGAAAGCGGTGTTATTTATTTTGGAATGGAAGTAGGTGAAGCAAATTTGGAGTTAACTGGTCTTATTAACTGGTAGGATGAGAGGGACGAAAGCATGATTGAGTAGACAATAGCGTTTCACTTTGAAAGAGCTATTTGGCAAGCTTAGTGTTTGAAACATGACCTCAATTACACCTGTGGTAACTGACTGCCATCACTTTGCAGTGTCAAGTTACATTAAATTAATTCTTATTAGAACTATTTAAATCCATAGTCCTTATTACCAACCCTCAAGTATTGAGAAGTATTGCTAAAATTGTAGTATTGAGATCCGATAGTACCCTTCAGGTTTATTCAGTTGTAAGCTTTGAAATCCATCCAGGATATACACTGTATAAGTATTATGGGAAGAATAGTAATCCAACATCAGTGGAAGGCCTCAGGTTGCATATCTCTACTTCACAAACATAATTTATTCCAAACTTGAATGTGCAAGGAATAAACACAAAGAACCAGATTATATACAAAACATTTTATTACATATATTTGTGAATTTACAGTATGTACATATTGCACATTTAGCTGGAATGTATATTTCTATTACACAGGAAAGAAGTGACTCCAGAGTGGATACAGAATCTAACCTAAAAACGTGTTCATCCCTTGCCTATGTCATGCAGTCTAGTAGACCAGCATTGTAACAGCTTTATGGAAAAGTTTGTAACGTAACATTTTCAGTTGCATAAGCGAGAAAGATGTTGAATAATGCTTCTTCCATAGGCAGCTTTCCTTGACCGTGTGGTGTAATGTCTCTTAACGGGAAACATGTCTATACTTGAAAAGATGGTACTTGTTACTTTTTTGGCAGTACAACACAACTGTTGTAGAGCAACTTTAAAGCATAAAACATGAACAATTAATTAGCCTTTGGGTAGTTTTTCACTAAAAAGAATGCATCTGTAAACAGTGATGATGGGATACAAAACACATTTTTAAAGTTTTATGAGAAGTAGTCCATCAATTTCCAAAAATAAATCTCTGATTCATAATGCCATATGTTACAAAAATGCTAAGTTCAATTTCCCTGTCAGTTTCCAAGGCACTTCTCTTGGTTCTTTTATATATTTTTCCTTTGATAGTAGTAGCATCTAAAGTAAAACAAAAACACAAAAGATTAAACACTACTTTTCCTATAATTCACGTTAATTTTCCATAAATCCTGTTAAATAATAATTCAGATTATTTCCAGTTCCTATTGGAATGTGGGAATTGAGACAAGTGAGAGAAACTTTCCATAGTATAAAAATCTGAATTTGTTAATCCATGTTAAAAGTAGAGTAGAACATTCCCAGGTTCAATTTGCCAATTTGCATCTCTGCTGCACAGTTTCTTCTTTCCAAACTTATTAATAACATTCTTTTGCACAAGGGTTATCCTGATTGGTATTCTGAAGCACAGCATAGGCAACTTGAACATTGTAAATAGAAGGAATTGTATTAAATTTCTTTTATATCAAATTATTGATTTAGAGAGAAAATAATCCAGTCATTCCCTTGGGGGCATCAATAGTTCCTGGTATTGCTGTGCAATATTGCTGTATTGCTAAGCAAGTATAGTAATTCAAATACAAATTGCTACTGAATAAGCAAATAGATTTTAATGCTCTTTCATTCTATGTATAACAAAAACAACATTTACATATTGAATTATATCATGAATGGTGTACACATATATAATATTAAAAATGTCTTCTTATATCAACAAAAAGGTATCCAGTATAAATAGAAAGGAATAGCAGTTGATTTAATTCCTGAAAAATTAGCTATGCCCAATACACTACTAACTGCACACTACTATGAATAATTCACAGTTGTTTCCTGAGAGTCTGTACTGTATTGCTTTCTAGTGGGGGGTATGTTTTTCTAATGGTAAATATTTTACCAAATGCTTTTGGAAACAAGCATATTTCAGTCCAAAAGATATTCTGCCAATGTTTATGAATTACTCACAGCGGCAGCATGCAAGTGTTGCTCTCAATAATCTTACCTTATCCTTCTGTGCACATTGGACTTACTGCCAACCGAGTAAGGAGCCTGGCACATCTTTTATAATCTGTGGTGGGGGGAAAAAGATAAATAGCAGTTTAGAAAGTTCTTATGGGGAGGGACAGGTTATTATATTTTTTAAATGCAATTTGTATAAGGGAATATAAATGTAACTATTTCATTTTTTTTAAAGATTTTTTTTTTATTGTTTTAGTTAAACAGAAAGAAAAATAAGGGGAAAAAATCATCTTTCGTTACATCTTGTTGAAAGCGTATTGATTGGTTACAAATATATTCCGTGCATTTCTTTCAGTCTTTACATATACTTCATTCAAATCATGTTGTACATTTTAAATCAAGAAAGAAAAATTATATATTTTACCATCTCTGTACCATAATTCTCATTTGGTTACCATTGTTTAAACATGTTTTTATCTAGAATCATTTATATTAGAAGACACAACCACCTACTGGCNCCAGAGAAATCCATGCTTGAGTCAGCCAAATGATCTACATTTTCAACTTTTTTCAAGCACATTTGGTGACCACCGCCCTTTCTATAAACCTGCTAAAGAAAAGAGGACTTACAGCTGAGTCATAATTATTCCAAATCTTGAGGTTGAGAAAATTACTTCCTCTACAAAAAGTCATGTCTGGGTCCACCTTTTTTGCTAGATCTTTGCAGTCAAAATGGACAATGATGGAGGCTCCTCAAGTTACGTATTCACTTCCTCAGCCAGCAATAATTAAAATTGCCCTTGAAATGGCAGCTCCCATATAAGTCAACGTGTTCTATCATGATTGTAGTATCGAACACGGAGTCCACACGAGGAATCTCTTTCTAAAATTGCTTCAAATCACCTATGAAACAGCTCACCTGTGTCGTACACTGAAGATGAGTGCTGGTGGAGAAATAAAATGCACAGAAAGCACATCCTTGTAGTCTTTCCAAACAATCATATTCATAGTGAGAATTAAACTCACATATTTTCTTACTAGTTAAGAGTCAGGATTTCCTCATTGCCTAGAGGTCTATACTTCATGGCTCCATATTGAGAGACCATACATGGTGATGACAGACAGAACACTCATTTCATCCCCAAATGACATAAGAAGGCCAGAGGTACACCAGCATTGTCAGATATTCATCTCTGAAGCTGGAGCATCTTGAACCCATGGGAAGCATTTTCAAATTGGAGTTGTTGCGAGATGGGCCATTTTATAAATGAGATTGAGATCTAAGTAAGTTAAATAAACAATGCAGCCATCTCAGATATGGTTCGGGGGCAGCAAGGTTGTTGCTGTTCTGTCTCTGGATCCCAAGTCAAGTAGAAACTGACTTTGGCAAATGGAATATGTCATCTCCTCTCTATGTTGATGCTAAGCCAAACACCTAATTGGGCAGAACTTGGGTCAGATCAGATTTGGTCCTCTCATTTAGCTTCAGAGCAGTTGAACCCATTCCTCTATGCAAAAACCAGCCAGGTTATCTTTATAAAAACTTTATAGGATTCTTCGGGGACAACTGGCAGTGTGATGGCACATTTTTCTTTTTAGTAAAGTGGGAGTGGGAAGGATCATATTAAACTGTACTTAATACAATACAATCGACTTACCAACTTTCTGCTCCTCCTCTGTGTAAGTTCCATAGTCCGGCATTTCCCTTTGATCAAGCGGTGGATAGTCTTGCTTGTACTGCACTCCATTTTCTTCATCCTCTTCTAGGTGGTATTTTTTCAGTTCTTGGATGATCTCCATTATCAGATTTAAGAGGTTTTGTCTTTCCTTCAGCCCCACGCCAGTTTCTGGTTTTTCTTTGCAATGTCCTGCTGAAAGTATCAATGCTATCAGCCCAATCAGCACTGAAGGCCTTAGAAGTTTGCACATTGCACTTGTGGGGACAATCCAGGGAAAGAGAATGTGTCCCACTTACTCCCTGAAAGAGAGAAATTTAAAGGAAAAAATCAGAAAGACTTTGAATAGAATATTTTTCATTGTATGTATGGAACAAGCTACAGAGTTGTTGCTGCTTGCTTTTTATTTCAGTAAAATATTCTTTAGCTAGGAAGACAGTTGGACTTCTAGATGCATTCGTGTGACCTCGTCCTTCATACTCAAAAGTATCAAGAAAAATAATGAAATCGGTGAAGGAGAGAAGATGCCCTACAAAATCAGCTAGGCAAAGAAAAAATCAAAAACAAAATCTTAGAAAACAGCCAACTATAGCAAAGATAATTTTTTTTCATTTATTTGGCAGATCCTAAAAATCTGAATGAAATTTCTGTGTTAAGCATCCTGCCTCTTAAGTTAAGAGCAGATAACAAGTTTCAACAAGGAATAACCAAAAATTTGGGGAAGGGGAGAGAAATCAATATTAGTACCTATATGGCTTCTAAGTCACTGGGAAATTTTTCAGCCTACTCAGATTTGCTTGACTTGATCTTGTTAATTTATTAAAAAACTTCCTACAATTTTCTGCTGGTGATTACAGAGGCATTGCTCAAATGGTAACTTAGCTAAGTATTTAAAAATCTATAGGACAATCAGAACGGAATTACTACTTTTATTCTTGGTTTGGTAATGTTTTCACTATTTTCAGTCAATATATTGGGAACTATTTCTAATCTGTACACCGGCCTTCTGTTAAAATTCTCAAAGCAAAGTATCTTTGAATGATTTGCATCTGCCTCCAGTGGGGGTAGGATTCTACAAGGCTGCCAAAATGCTGTTACGGACCATCAATTTACTAAGTGATTACACACATTGCGCCCCATAGGATATATGGTCCTACAGTGGAGCCACTTCGGGATGCTCCGAAACCTTCCAAGGAAATCTTCCACACTATGCAGCTCCAGACCGAATCGGTCTGCCCTGATCCCATCCAACGCTTCCTATTCAAGGCATAAAATCTGAATTTAACGCCCCCATTTGTCTTATCTGCCCAGACATCCACCGTGCGTCTATTTGGCGGACCTTACTCAGAGCTTCTTCCACATCGCTTGGGATGCTCGGTGCAGCTTCGCTGCCTTTGGATTCCCAAAGCTAAAAGGGTTGCAGAAAAGGAAGCGCCCAGCCCAGCATCGCGGGGCGCTCTCGGTTTTCACGGGACGGAAGTCCGATTCCATCTGGAGACACCGACGCTACTTAAAATGACCTGATTCGGACTAGATCTCCCACTCGGGTCCTTCTCCAGAGGGACCCATCCTGCGAGCAGATCCCGCTCTCTCTGGCTCTGCTTTCTACGGAGCAGAATTCTCTACCGCGAAGCGACCCCCCGGAGGTGCCTTTGGGTCTCCCTGGACTGACACCAGCTCCGAAGCAGAACCGGCGCAAGGAAGAAGAGCTCGCTTGCAGCCTAGCAAGAAGGGCGCCTTCTTCCGACAGGCGCCCCAAAATCCGCCCGCGCCCGCACTCGCCCAGCGCCGCCAACCAGAACGCCCCGAGAACTGGCCAGGACTCCGCTCAAACTTGGCCGGGAGCGAGCGGCGCTTTCAACTGCAGCCGCCACTCCTGGCAGGCAAGCCGGAGGCGCTGGCCGCTGGCCCTTGGAGACCGAAGGCGCGTACCTGTCTCCGCTGGCCTCGGTGCCCCGCTCACTTCGACGGTCCCCTGGGCCGAGCCTCTTCCCGCAGCGAACGCGGAGCCTTCGGCCGCCCTGCTCGGCTTCTCCCGTCTGCTCCCTGACGCGCCCGCCGCCGCCTCTCCTCCACCTAGTCCATGGCCGCGCTTTATATGGGCTCCCGAGGAGTTCGCCAGGGGGCCGCCGCCGCCGCCGCCGAGTCAGCTCGCCTCGATGTGCGAGTGGGTGGACGGCCGGCTCGCCGCCGCTCTTGCCCCGTTGCTGCTGCCGCCACCGAAGTTCCCCCGGACTCCCCCGCTTGGCCGCCGCGGCTCTCCTCTTATGCTGCTCCCCCCCTTCCCCCCGCAGACGCCGAAGGACCCGTCCCGGCTCGGGCGAAGGGGGGGCGGAAGGGAGGGGGGGCACCCGCCAAGTTCCTTTAATTGCAAAGCCTCGCCGATCATTTCCCGCACGCGCGCGCACCCCCACCCCCACCCCCCTCTCCGCTTACACACACACACACACACACACACACACACACACAGCCCACGTTTGTGTGGGCCGTCCAATCTCCCCCACGCTTCCCGCCTTGGGGCTGCATGTTTGGGGCAATCGGCGGCTCTGCCCACTGAGCACGACTTCCAGCAAGTTTTGTGACTGGACGCGCTTGGAGAGCAAAGGCCGGACGGGGTGGGGAAGGGCGGGAAGGAGGACGGGCGGCGGCGACGGTTTCATCTTCCCGAGCGAGAAGAAGCGGTGCCCGTCCCGCCGCCTTCCGGGCGAAGGGATGGGGCTGTCCNCCCTTGGGCCGATCAGGGACTTTGCCATATCCCTGCGACCAGCAAGGTCTTGTCTTCCCAGCCACCGTCTCTTCAGGACGGTTTAGGTCCTGCTGGGCCGTCCAGGGGCAAAAGTGTCATCGGTGGATTCGGACAGCCAAATCCAACAATGTAGCGTTGCGACGTTGGCTCCTCCCATCCTCATAACTATTTCACCTTGAAGCACTGTAGCACTACAGATTTGAATGTGTGTGCTTGAGCTAATTTTAAACATGCTTCTTAGATTTTTAAGAATGGTATATATGGTAAGATTGCTATCCTATGAAGATTGACGTGGCACAGGGCAGTGTTGAAAGAGTGGATATTTCATCATACTAAGATGATGAGTATTTACTAATATCCATGAAAAGACTTTCCATTTGCATGTGAAAGAATGGTTTGTATGTTTTTATAGTGAACTATTTATGTAACTAGCCATGCCTATAAAGAAAGTTTTTAAAAAATGAGGTTAATCATGGGGCAAGTTAATCAGCATCCACCTATCAATTTACCATGGAATAAGATAGCTGCTAACAGGGCAGTAGCAAGAAAGGAAAGGAGGACTCGGATGCTGAAAACATGTAGAAAAGGAAGAAGAGTAAAGATGGTTTAGCATAGCAGCTCTCAATCTTCGGCCTCTTAAAACATTATTACTTGGTCCATCAAAAACTCATGTCTCATAATAAGATCTACTATTTCAAACAAAGGTTTATATATGTTTAGGCTTTCTGTTGCCATAAATATGGGAAGTTTTAAACATTTCAGTGAATTGCCCCGTATCCCATTAAACAACACATTTATTTATTCAGCATATTTAGGAAGTACTCATGTTCCTCATAGAGTGATTTCTTAAATCTTAAATTATGCAACATTGCTTGCACAATGTCAACCTTTAAATGAAGTATATTTTGATGCTCATTAGTTAAATAGTTCCAGAGCACGTTAGTAAAAACACTGGGAGCTAAAACAAGTAATAGAAGCAGTAGCAAAGCATGTAAACATTTTCATCTCATGAACTAATGGCATGTTTTTGTTAATGAGCAGTTTATATTGTATGCTTGTACCCATGCAGATTTATGCAGAAATGTTGATGCAATAATAAGCGAGAAAAATAAATGTGTCTTACTAAACACTGTACAGTGTTTAGGCTGCCACTTAGTTCTGTAATTCAGTTCCTCGCGTATCCCGTAAATTTACTCTAGCAATCAGGATTGGTTTAAAATCCTGTAAAAAGTAATCCTTAGTGGAAAAATGTTGCTTTAGGGTAACATCTGTTGCCCAGGATCTACGGTAGTTTTTCTATTATGTAATAATGTAATTAAATCCCAATTGCCAAGCTTATTTTAAAATATTGATTTATGTTCAGTTAAAATTGTTGGAAAATAAGAAACAGATATACTTTGTTGAATTGCTGACTTTATTTGAGAGGCCTTTAACTAGATTGGATTAAATAATAAATTTGATCATTATGGTGAGGTATAATATGGTTCCTTCATTTTGGCTTAGACTAGTTTAACAAACAAATGTTGGTTTTTTCAGCTACTCTAATAATAGGTATTAACAGACTTTGCACAATGTGTGAGAGGTTTTGTGGTCAATTTGTGAATAGAGGGATAAATTCATAAGCAAAAGTCAATCTACTTGTAGAAATACTACCTCCTGTTTATATCTTAGAAGAAAAAAATGTACAGTTTAGAGTTTTATTTCATTTATATGCCGCCCTTTTCCCTAAGGGGACTCAGGGCGGCTCACAACTCAAAGAAGGGAAGGGGGGATACTTTATGCAAGTTCAAAACCTATGTACTAAATGACTTATACTTTTCTAGCAACAGTAGTACCAGGATTTTTCAGTGGTGTATTTGTGCTTTAAGCATAAAGCAGGTATAATTTGTAAATTTCTGTTATCTGATGTGATAAGAAATTCGGTTTCTGTAGTGAAATCCTAAAACAAAAAGAGTTGGCATATAATGGAAGAGCAGATTGCCTGCCTGCACAAATATGTTTTAAATGATTGTTTATGAAATTAGAAATTAGAACCATTAGATCTCCCTGAGGAATTGCAAGAAAGCACTCCTCTATTTCATGGCTTTAACTCTACAAACTCTTGTAATCATGTTAATTATACAGCTACATTTATTAGTAATTCTGGTCTTGGATGATAGAACTTACATGCAGGTATGGTACAATCTCTTGTATGGTGATAAAGTCTATGAAAGTGTTTAGTGCATTTGGGGCCAAAGTAAAGGTGACCTGGAAAAGAAGAAAATCAGCAGATTAATTGAATTGCTGCCATGATAAAAAGGAGTATAATTAAGGCAATTATTCTGATGTGAAGTTTGGCTTACCTGTTAAATGGTTTAAAAATTTGTCTTTCATTCTTAGGTCTCTAGGAAATATTTCTGTTAAAGAGAATAAAGACACTTCTTTAGAACAGTCAGTATTTATATTCTAGTTCTGTAATTTCCTGGAATGTACAATTCAAGGCAAAATTAAAAANCACACACGCGCACACACCCAGCCCACGTTTGTGTGGGCCGTCCAATCTCCCCCACGCTTCCCGCCTTGGGGCTGCATGTTTGGGGCAATCGGCGGCTCTGCCCACTGAGCACGACTTCCAGCAAGTTTTGTGACTGGACGCGCTCGGAGAGCAAAGGCCGGACGAGGTGGGGAAGGGCGGGAAGGAGGACGGGCGGCGGCGACGGTTTCATCTTCCCGAGCGAGAAGAAGCGGTGCCCGTCCCGCCGCCTTCCGGGCGAAGGGATGGGGCTGTCCGGAATTCCCTCCCTGCCACCCGGAGAAAGCTTCGGCCAGGGATCTTCCCCCGGGATCGCCCCCTCAGTCCGGGACAAAAGTCTCGCCCTCGAATGGGTCTCACCCGACGAGGAGCTCCGCTGGAGCCCGGTGTGGGATGGGGGTGGGCCAAGGCCCCGAAGACCCGGCCCTCCTCGGTCCCCCACTATTGCAACCCCCTGGAGGGCTGTGCAGGGGGCACCGACTCTTTGCCATGGTCTCTCTGAGGCTTTTCCACGCAGCTTCTGCCCCCCCAGCAAGCAAGGCCAGAAGTTGCGGTGGAGAATTCTGCCGGGTGAATTAAGTGCTCCAAGTTGTGGGAAGAAGAAGCGCTCTTTATTTCTAAGCCTTGGATATCCTGTCAGCCTCATTAGACGAAGTTTAAGCGGAAATGTGTGGCTTTTTCTTTATTACTTTGGTTTTTTTCTGCCTTTCCTCCAAGCAGCTCAAGGGGGCCTCCGTGGCTTTCCTTCCTTTCATCCTCACCCCGACTCGGTGGCGGCTGTGCCGGCACAATAGGTGCTTAAGGGAACCCAGCCAGCAACCTACAACTTTGGCCAGTCAGAGTCTTAGTGGACGAGTTTGACTGAGCAATCAGATCTCGTGTATGGATGGGATACTGAGTAGTAGCAATCTAAACTATTTCTCACCATTCCTTAGTTTCTGGCATCTGTAACTGCAGCTGTTAAATTGTATATAGAGATTTAATTGCTTTAAATCTGTGGTTGGCCAAGTAAAAGTACATATCAAGAGGGCGCCTTTCTTTTTCTTTTTCCCCATTTATTTATTTCTTTATTTATTACATCTCTAAGGAACCCATCTCACCTAAATGACTTATCTAAGTGATTAAATTTGAAATATATACACTTATAGTAAGGTCAGGACAAAACATTGGCATCAGAAAAAATACAATTAAATTCAACTGTATTAATTAACTAAGACAAGTAGGATTGCTATCCATCCATCCACCCTCCCAAACCACCCACCCACCCATCCATCCACCCATCCACTATCTATTCTGCTTTGAACTTCGGAGAAAAGGCCAGCTATAAGTCTCATAAAACTAATAAAAATAAAGTTCATTCATCATATATTGTATAATTTGCTACTATGCTAATTTAAGCAATCAAGACAGACAGTTTTCAAGGAGAACACCACATAAAGCATATAATAATAAACAATATAATAATAATAATTTTCACCAAGATAAATACTATAGAAATGAATGGATTAAAAACTGCTAAAAGGTTCTGTGTTTCTGATATATGCAAGTGATTAATCATAATAATAAAAAAATGATTATTTTTAAAAAAAATCAGATTTCTTAAATGAAACACATTCATTTCTTACAAAGAGCTATCATATCATTGCTAAGCAAGATAATACGGGACTAAACCCCTACTGAAACAGGATACAGCAGAACAATCTTATTTGCTCTAATGGTGTGTACATAAACCGATCCCTTTTCTGCTAATAAAGTAAATAGAAAGTTGGCGTGTTGTGATCATTTCTCAACCGGTATGAAATGGATAGAGGGAAGCACTAGAGGTAATTAAGATGAACTCTGATTGATGTAGATAATCATATTCCTTGTAACATAATTGTTTCAGAGGCAAAGAAAAAGCTGATCAGGTGGGCTGAACATTGTAACTAGGTACCCTAGTAAAAGTAGTGACAGATAATGGTGCTGATTGGTATTGCTCTGGGGAAACCTTTTAACCAAATAAGTGTAAGAAAGACACAAAAAGTGTTTAATTAAAAGTATTCCTCCAAGAGCATTGGTTCTATGAGTCCTTTACTACATGCACATTTTAATTCATGCAAGCTATCTCCTGTTCATTACTAAAGTATCATTACATTTCTGTGGCTCAGAGCTATGGGTTTTACCAGTTTCATCCTTTGAGACTTTTACAAACACAGAGAAATGCATCCCATATTATTATTAAAAATGCTTTTGTGCCAGTTAGCAAAGTGAAAGTCCTCATACATGCCTAGACATGACTGTTTATCTAACTTCATTTTAATCTCCATGATGAAATCAAATCCATTTCAGACAAGGCATGGCAGATATTATCCTAATAAACGGTGTATTATAAAATAATGGGTGTTTCTTGATGGATAGTTCCTAGGCTACCAATCAGAAGACTCAACATCTTTTTAATAACAAGGAAAAGACAAAGGAAGAGTGGGGCATATATGTGAGTTACAAGCGAGAAGTATCATTGGTTCCTCCTTGCCCCCCCCTCCATCTCATTAAATTTTGAAGAGGAAATCAGGAAATTGTAAAGTAAAGTTTTCAGCTGGAAGACTCTATTTAACAGGGCTGTCAAACGGGCAGCCTGTGGGCCACATGTGTGTCATGCACAGGCCATGCCCACCCCGGCTCCAGAGGGAAAACGCCGAGAAATGTTACGTGACGGCAATGTGACACGGTGAGTTTGACACCAGTGCTCTATTATTTTACTTTATTTTTTTATTTATTTGTATCCCGCCTTTATTATTTTTACAAATAAAACAGCAAACATATCCAACGTATCTTCCTCCTCCTATTTTCCCACAACAACCATCCTGTGAGGTAGATTGGCCCAAGGACACCCCAGCTGACCTCCACGGATAAGGCAGGGCTAGATTCTCAGCGTCTCCCAGTTTGTAGCCTGCTGCCTTAACATGGAACCAAACTAACTTAATTGGTACTAAAGCCGATAATATTTACCTACAGCTGTACCTCTGCACTGGGAAAACTTGCACTTAAGAAACATAGATGTCTTTCTGTCCCCCACTAGAAATCGATTCCATCCCAGAGCCAAGGCTGTCGAAGCAAATGGAGGGGGAAATGCCAATGCCATTTTATCACATGTGACTTATTACACTTTCAGAATTGCATTCCTTCCTGTCAGAATAAATGTCTTTTCCCCCAATCAAAGACTGTTTCTGAACTCCCACAGTGAAGCAGTTAGTTCCATGTATGGCTTTGCTCTCTGTTTTGTCAGAGGATTGTCTGCACATTTCAGTTGTACATAAAAATGCCATGCTTTCAGAACTACATGCTCAGTCTTCTTGGCCTTCGTGTGGGACAATTTTCAGCTTTCCAACTATGAGGAAATGCTTTACCTTTTTGATACCCCAGTCAATGAATTTGCAACTAAATTTTGCACGTAAGCAAATGTATTTTTCCAGCATGATTATCTGTACATACCTATATAGCATCATTATTGAAAGTTGCATCTCAATTTTTTTTTAAAAAAATGGGGAAATTAGGTCCAAAGAAGCAGACATTTTTCATTATCCCAGCTAACTTTAAAATGGGATAATATCCAAGCTAATGTATGTATGCATTTTTCTGTATGAATTCCCTAAAGCAGATCACAATATTCAAGATTAGTCAAAATCTTTTAATTCAATTGATATATTTCAAAATACATCCTATTGGTTCTGCAGTTATCAAAGGAGACTTGGACTTCTTTTGCTCTAATATAAAATGTCATAACAAATGGCAAAGAATAAGCATAATGCATATTATGAAAAATTGCGAGAGAGACGGGGAAGGGAGTGAAATACTCTTCAGAGGAAGAAGGGGCAATGTGATCCTTTGAAAGAAGAATCTGATCCTTTGGATCCCAAGAACCTTTCTTTTCAGGACATTTACATTTTTAACAAAACCGAAACAAGGGTAGCAAAAAGTAATAGAAGCATTTCTTTTTCCAAAATACCACTTTAAAATTAGAAGAGATTTTAGACAGTTGGGGTCTGTAGCATTAAATATCTTATTGTAAACATTAATTGTCTTTCACGAAGTTATTCTCTCAAGAAGCTGAAAATATAACATAATCATCCCATACTGTGTACTGAAGATCTTGGGAGATTACACGCTTATTTTCTATTTACCTAGCAGTGAGAATAGACATTCTCCTGGTGACTTTTAATTCCAGTCTGTTACACATTATATCTTGATCAAGGAAATTTAATTAGGTCGGCTTTCTGCATTTTTTGAAAAGCCCTCATGAAATCAACATTCATATAGTTTGATTTCAATCTCTCCAACATATAATGTTATCTCAATTCCAATTTGTAAATCATAATATTTAGAACAATAAATTGTAATTTTAACATTTTAAGTAGAATAACTGACACAAGGAGAGAGTGACAACTCTCAAGCTAAGTTAAGAGATAATAAGGAAGATTCCAACTTACATGAAATAGTTTCTAGGATCAGATCAGTTGCATCTAAAGAATTCGCTTATATCAACTGGCCCTCCTAATTATGGATTTTGAGAAATCAGAGAAGATGAGCATAGGTTTGCAAGCGAACTGAAAAAGTACAACATTGCTCTTCTTTAAAGAGACGTGGTGGGAAAAGATGACCTAGATAAATACAGACCACCTCCACAAACTCCATAAATCTCTATAAACTCCATAAATCCTGCCTAATGCTTTGCTCCAGTTCTGGGCATTTTGAGATGATAAACTGGAGCGTGTCCAGAGGAGAGCAGCAAAGGTGATCAGGAACAGGGACTTACAAAGAACACTTTGAAACACTGGATAGTCTGAAGAATTGTGAGAAGATACGCTTGTCTTTTGATATCTGAAGGACTCTCATTTAGAAAACAGACCAGAATTGTTGAGAGTTGATGACAGGTAAAAACAAAAACAAAAAAAACCCCCACACATCTAAATTGCCAGGAAGTGGACTTTGATGATGGTAAGAACTGTCCAACAGTAGAACAGAGTCTTTCTTAGGGGAAGATGGATGTGCTGGGGATAATATACACTGGTGGATTTCTGTACTTATAAGACATTGAACTAGGTTGCCTTCCCCTCACCCAAAAATCTTCTATGTAACATTCCATGATCTTATCATATTTTTTAAAAATCAACGCTGCATTTGTATTTTTTTAAATACTGGATTACAAAACATGAGGCGCGAGCAAATTTCTTGCATTCCTGCCCATATGCTCATCAGAAAAAAAGATACAGAGTGATGTTGATGAGTAAACAAAACTTGAGAAATCATCTCTTGCACAAGGAGAAAGGTCTTTTCATCAATGAAACGTGGAATATTATTGGATCCCAAGTACAATTCAGCACTTGATAAGAGTTGATAGTGAAAAAGCAGAATAGGTATTCAAAGAAACTAATAGATGGTATTTGCAAAGATATTGTTTCATTATTTATTAGCAGTATTTACATTACTTAAATGTTCCTGAATTCAGAACTCAGGGCAGCAAACACCATGGTGTTTTAAAAAAAAAAATGTCATCATTATTATCATCGTTATCATGATCTATTTTCCCACTACCATGGGAGAATTTTCAAAAGGGGCCGTCATGCAGATTTTAACACCAACCGTGCTCATAACAGAAGATGCAGGGCCCTTGACAGTGAAATCTAAATTATTGAGGCTCTAAAGGTTAAAAAAAAAAAAAGGCAACATTATACATAATGAACAATTGGAAAGTAGTGCAAATCTAGTGCAGATATCATATGATTCATGCACNCACACACAAAAACCCCTGGTGTCATCTCAAATAGCACCCTCTAATGAAGACGATACAGTGGAACCTCTGGTCACGAATGCTTCTGACCACGACCAAATTGGGTCCTGGCCCAAAAAATTAACAATTTTTTTTCCCTGCGGCCAATTTCCCCTTCTGTGCCTTTTTTTTTTTTTTTTTTTGTAAGCACCAAAATTTCCAAAATTAGGTTCAGGTCACGACCAAATCAGTTTGCAACCAAAGTTATAGAACGAATTATGGTCGTGACCAGATGTTCTATTCTATTAGGAAAGAGATTCCAGAAGATGGTGCTACTCAATACGGGAGTTGTTGGGGCACCAAATGTATTGAGCAACCAAAAGACTCATTACTTTTAGAAGATACACTGTGGTGAGGAGGAGACTTGCTGGGCCATTACTGCTGCCACATCACTCCTGGAGCATTCCCCATGGCCCAGGGTGCACATATCCATGGCATTCAGCATCCTAAGCACATCTTTCACTCCCAATGTAATATGGGCCACATAAAACAAATCGGAGCGCTGCATATGATTCATGCCCCTCCCACCCCAAGTATGTGATTCCTTCTCTAAGCAGCTTACTAGTATCAGTGTGATCTACGCTGATTAAGAATTCTCAACACATTCTCTATAAATATCTGCCTTGGCACCTCAGTAGTTGTTGAACAATCAAAAAGAAATAATAGCTTTAACTCTACAAAGAAATATCTCTCAGCTACTCTGATGGTCACCCTGCAAACAGGACTACAGCCCTTGGCACAGCTGAGCTGAGCTACTCCAGCCATGCCCTGTGATCACGGTGGTCGAAGGCTGCCAAGAGATCCAGAAGGAACAACGTGGCAGCATTTTCTTTCACTGCTGAAAGTAACCAGAGAAATCCATGCTTGAGTCAGCCAAATGATCTACATTTTCAACTTTTTTCAAGCACATTTGGTGACCACCGCCCTTTCTATAAACCTGCTAAAGAAAAGAGGACTTACAGCTGAGTCATAATTATTCCAAATCTTGAGGTTGAGAAAATTACTTCCTCTACAAAAAGTCATGTCTGGGTCCACCTTTTTTGCTAGATCTTTGCAGTCAAAATGGACAATGATGGAGGCTCCTCAAGTTACGTATTCACTTCCTCAGCCAGCAATAATTAAAATTGCCCTTGAAATGGCAGCTCCCATATAAGTCAACGTGTTCTATCATGATTGTAGTATCGAACACGGAGTCCACACGAGGAATCTCTTTCTAAAATTGCTTCAAATCACCTATGAAACAGCTCACCTGTGTCGTACACTGAAGATGAGTGCTGGTGGAGAAATAAAATGCACAGAAAGCACATCCTTGTAGTCTTTCCAAACAATCATATTCATAGTGAGAATTAAACTCACATATTTTCTTACTAGTTAAGAGTCAGGATTTCCTCATTGCCTAGAGGTCTATACTTCATGGCTCCATATTGAGAGACCATACATGGTGATGACAGACAGAACACTCATTTCATCCCCAAATGACATAAGAAGGCCAGAGGTACACCAGCATTGTCAGATATTCATCTCTGAAGCTGGAGCATCTTGAACCCATGGGAAGCATTTTCAAATTGGAGTTGTTGCGAGATGGGCCATTTTATAAATGAGATTGAGATCTAAGTAAGTTAAATAAACAATGCAGCCATCTCAGATATGGTTCGGGGGCAGCAAGGTTGTTGCTGTTCTGTCTCTGGATCCCAAGTCAAGTAGAAACTGACTTTGGCAAATGGAATATGTCATCTCCTCTCTATGTTGATGCTAAGCCAAACACCTAATTGGGCAGAACTTGGGTCAGATCAGATTTGGTCCTCTCATTTAGCTTCAGAGCAGTTGAACCCATTCCTCTATGCAAAAACCAGCCAGGTTATCTTTATAAAAACTTTATAGGATTCTTCGGGGACAACTGGCAGTGTGATGGCACATTTTTCTTTTTAGTAAAGTGGGAGTGGGAAGGATCATATTAAACTGTACTTAATACAATACAATCGACTTACCAACTTTCTGCTCCTCCTCTGTGTAAGTTCCATAGTCCGGCATTTCCCTTTGATCAAGCGGTGGATAGTCTTGCTTGTACTGCACTCCATTTTCTTCATCCTCTTCTAGGTGGTATTTTTTCAGTTCTTGGATGATCTCCATTATCAGATTTAAGAGGTTTTGTCTTTCCTTCAGCCCCACGCCAGTTTCTGGTTTTTCTTTGCAATGTCCTGCTGAAAGTATCAATGCTATCAGCCCAATCAGCACTGAAGGCCTTAGAAGTTTGCACATTGCACTTGTGGGGACAATCCAGGGAAAGAGAATGTGTCCCACTTACTCCCTGAAAGAGAGAAATTTAAAGGAAAAAATCAGAAAGACTTTGAATAGAATATTTTTCATTGTATGTATGGAACAAGCTACAGAGTTGTTGCTGCTTGCTTTTTATTTCAGTAAAATATTCTTTAGCTAGGAAGACAGTTGGACTTCTAGATGCATTCGTGTGACCTCGTCCTTCATACTCAAAAGTATCAAGAAAAATAATGAAATCGGTGAAGGAGAGAAGATGCCCTACAAAATCAGCTAGGCAAAGAAAAAATCAAAAACAAAATCTTAGAAAACAGCCAACTATAGCAAAGATTTTTTTTTTCATTTATTTGGCAGATCCTAAAAATNAAAAAAAAAAAGGCAACATTATACATAATGAACAATTGGAAAGTAGTGCAAATCTAGTGCAGATATCATATGATTCATGCACTCTGCATCATTTATCTACTAGCTGCCAGTTAATAGCTTTTACCATCAGTCAGAACTTAGATTTATGCGTTATTTTTTTAAATGAAGGATCAATTATTTCTTTACTAATTACATAAAAATTAACCAGTGAGACTTCATGGTCGGCTGATAAATTGTAGATTCAATTCTGGAATGAAATTATGAATACTAAGATAGGCATGTTACAACTAACTTGAGCCAATGTGGATTTGTCACAAACAAATCATGTTAAACTAATTTTATCTTATTCGTTAGAATTATTATCTTAGTTGATCTGGAAAATGCTGTAGAGATCCTAGAACTTAGCAAAACATTCAACAATGAAATACTATGAAATATTAAAACAGGGGCTAGAAGATACTACCGTTAGATGAATTCACAATTGGCAAAATGATTGCATCCAAAGAATGTTTGTTAATGATTCCACTTTATCTTGGAAAGAAATATCAAGGGGATGCCACAGGGCTCTGTCCCAAGGTTTGTCTCTTCAATATTTTTATTACTGTCTTGGATGAGAGAATTGAGTTATAAAATTAGCAGATAACAGAAAGCTGGGAGAGTAGCCAGTATGTTGGAGACAAAGAGAGAATATACAAGATAATCTAAAGTGGTTTGAACACTAAAAGAATAAGATGAAATTTAACAGGGCGAAAATAAAGTTCAGCAACTCGGTAACAAAAAGTATAAGGCACAAGTATCAAATTGTGGAAACCTGGCTTGGTTGTAATACCCGAGACAGAGATCTAGGTCTCCTTGTTACCCCAAAATTGAATATTAACCGGGAATGTGATGCAACTGGCAAAATGACAACTGCTATCTTAAAGCGCATAAACTGTATCATAGTATCAAGGTCATAGGAAGCCATTGTTCTTCTGTACTTCCCTGATTCAGACCCCACGTGGAATGTTGTGTCAGTTCAAAATGCACGATGATAAACTGGAATTAGCCAGAGGTGGGTTCCTACCAGTTCGCACCTATTCGGTAGAACCGGTTCGTCAAATTTACCGAACAGGTTAGAAGAGGTTCCACCAGTGGAC